ATGTGTGTATGTGTGTGTGCGCGCTTGTGCGTGTGCGTGTGCGTGCGTGTGTGTGTGTGTGTGTATGTGTGTGTGTGTGTGTGTTTTTGTTTGTGTGTGCGTGTGCGTGTGAGTGTATGTATGTATACGCATGAAGGTATGTGTGTAAATATGCATATATATATATATATGTGTGTGTGTGTGTCGTATATGTATGTGTATATATAATATACGCATATCATATACTATCTATCTATCTATCTATCTATATACACATATGTGTGTGTGTGCATGCGCGTGTATTCGTACAATGTCGGTCAATGTGTATTCATGTACCAGGTATTGATTGCTCGTGTCCAATTAAACGTGTGTGCCTGTGTGCGCGTGTGTGTGTCTGAATGTGAAACATCTTCTCGATGTGAACAAGGTGGGAAGCTTCTTATGTGCTGTTCGGTGTGAGAAAGGGTCTGCAGCCCAGGTGCCAAGCAAAGGCCCAGCGTCATCAGCATGAAAGCTGTCAGCATGAACAGCGTGGCTGCTGTGATGTCCTTAATTAGGGGCGAGACACGAGTTGCAACCCACACTGAAACCTGGCCTCCTTCGTGTGTGTTATGCCGTCCGTGTCATCCCCATGGCTGGCCACAGGCTTCAGTTCAGTGAACACGCCCCGAAACCAAAGTTCCGTCTGGCAGCAGGGATCGCAATTGGCGGTCGAAATCGGTGGTCTTTGTAGACGGCCTGTGAGCCTGCAGCCAGCAGAAAGGTTCTTCTTTCCGTCAACATCGCGGCTTCCTGGCCTCTTGGGCTAGAAGACTCGCCCAGCACCACTGTTTTCGTTGGGCCGGGCGGCCGCTCAACGAAACCTCGGCAAAATCTGAAAAGGGCACCTGGCACGGCATATAGCAGCTCCACAAGACAGCGCACCTCTTTTGCGAACATGTACAAGGTCCGGCCGAGAAACTCGGGCAACTGGCATCGGCAAGGCCAAGTTTGGGGCTCTCCGTGTCGAAGATGACGTTTCGGCCAATCATCCATGTCGCTCCAAGGACCTCGATTACTTAAGGCAGGCTTCAATGCCCCCTGCCCCGACGCATCACAAAGCCGCGTCATCTGACTGATGAGCATCAAACCCCATAGACCTCAACCTGCCTAGACCTGCCATAACACCCGCAAGCGCTAAGAGGCTTCTGAGCTCTTCTTATCCACAGTCACCGTCCCAGGGTCCCAGCCAGGCTCCCGTCGGTCCCCGAAGTCCACGCAGCGTAACACTCTGAGGTTGCCGACTGTTTGCCGCGCAGCTCCGTTGCTTTCGAAGCCCAGGCAGTACAGTTCGCCACTGCGACGATAGAGGTAGGAACTTGGGTACCAGTTCCTCGGTCGTTCTCTACAAGCATTTATCTTCTGCCCCTCTTCTTTTGCTGAGGCTCTACGCAGTTCATTGTTTCCTATCGCCCTATGTTTGGCATATTCTCCAACTCTCTGTTTGCTTCGCCGGAGCGTCGACCTCAAGTACGAGACATCCATATAGACTTCTCACACGGTGACGAGACAGCAAACCTGCCGACATGATGACTTGTGAGTACCGCGAATCTCCTCGCATGCTCCCACGAAGACCAGAGAAGCCGAGAGTCGCTGATACACCGCCCTGGAAAACGACTCGGATCGGAGGAAATGACGACAAAGATCCTCCTGCAAAAGCAACATCTGATTGGAGGCCCAGCACAACCCAAGTTGAGGAGCTGCGCATAGCTGCACAGGGACAAAGGCCAAGGCCAAAGGCTCACGTGCGACAGGGGACTTACGAGGAAATCTCTCTGCAGTGAGTTATGCAACCGAGCATGCCGGAACCACTGTGCAACACACTCATGAAGTAGATCAATCCAGAGTTAATGTAAGTTTGGCACTGTCAGCGTCCTGGAACCGTCCAGCACGTACCGCTGGTCCCCTTGGCAGCACATCCGTTGTGCTGCTTGCAATAGGATTTGACCTCTGGCAGCAGGTAGCTTCGTAAGTTCGTTTGGGTCTCGGGTACTGTGTGAGACAACTTTAAAAAGGCTTCTACGATACCCACTGATTGGCCAAGCAGCCGCTTCTTTCAGCTGGCGGTACAGCCCGTCTGGGAGGTAGGTGTACGTCCTTACAGCATGTTATCAATGAGTGATCTCCGGAAGGATACCGAACCTGTTCATGAAGTTTCCAGCACAATGCCATGGCGCGTACCCGAATCCACGATGGTGTGTCCAAAGCCACCTCGCACCGGAATCAAGGAAATGCGAAACAAGAATCTCAGAGACTCCGCAGGACAGATTGGGTTTTGCACTGGCAGAAGGAAAGAGTGCAGCGTGATAAAGAGTGACATGAAAGACAGCCCATCTACTAGGAGCGTAGTTGGCCGGACAAGATATGCATCTGATCCCTGGAAGGAGCACTGATTCAACACCAGCAAAGTCGCATAAATACCCCAGCACTGTGATAGATGTGATAAACTCACCCGGACCCTGCCTTTGCGAAGGCACGAAACATCCGACTTCGGCTCTCGAGTCCCCAAGTGCCTGAAAGCTCAGAGCCTCCGGGCCCTTCGACGATCATCTTCAAAAGGGAGACGCCTCGAGCGTTCAGAGCCACAGCAGCTCGAAATCGGAGAGTTATGTCCAGAAGTCTGACACCATCGGTGAGGCACTGTAGAAACCGTGCAAAGTGAGAGGGATCCACTGCACCTCAGACGCTCTTTGTGATGGACACGTGAGGCACTACCTTTCTCATTCGTCAAGAAGCAGTAGCCGTGTTCAGGGATTGGTTGAAGCCACCCACGGTCCTCGGCAGACGCGTGTGTCGAGCTTACACTAGTGTGCTGGGGTGACAGTTGACGAGTAGGCCCAGCTCCATCTAGAAAGAAAGGAAGTCTTGAATTTTGAGGAAGCTCAGGAGTGGGATGGACGCCGATCGGAACAGGGAGGACGGGGTCGACAACTGAAACTACGACTCGTCGGCAACTCCAAGGGGTCCTCACGACGTGCATACGGAACCATGGCCAGGACAAGCTGCAAGAGACCTCCCTGGGAGGACAAGCACATGGCGAAGACCGCAGCATTCACATGAGCCTTGTCCTGCATGCAGCCAAGGCCAAGTGCTGAAAATGAGAGGTCTCACAGGCAACCGTACTTACTGTTTCCGACCAGGAATCAGCATGTGGCATGGATGCGAAAACACAGCACTGTTTTTTGGACACTGCGCCCATCGAGAACTGTAGCTGATGTGTTGAAGTCTGTGGTGTTCGCAATTTCCCAGCCATTCCGCTGCTCTAGAGCCTGCATCTTGACCCAGCCTTGAAGATATTCATTAGGATCGTGGTCATCCTGTCTTTGGATGGGGCCAGGCCAAAGATTCCATTGGCCTGTGCCCGTCGGAGCTTCAAGACTGATGGGGGTAAAGCCATTCTCGATGCTGAACGGAACTAGATCTCGGATCTTGTACTATCATGCTCACCATCGGATGCTGACAAACAAGGCGAGCTTCAGGCTTCCAGGCTCTGCGCTACTTCGGAATTACATCTCACAAAAGTGAGTTGGTACAGCGCACGAGAGAAGCCCTGGCCTTTTGAGTAACAAACAGCTTCGTCTCACGGCTGTGACACCCCATCTGCACCTGGCTTCAGAAGCACAAGCATCCCCTCCAACGTGTGAAATCTTCGAGCATGACTGCAAGCCTTCACGGGGGGATTCTGCTGGAACTCATCACCGAGAGACACATAATCTGTGAAGCGGTAACCTGACAATGAGGCGGCGAGGAACATGAAGGTACACCCACACGGCGATAACCCGCGCCTTCAATTGAGCTGCCCTCGGTGTAGCTTTGTCGGTAGGCGCAGTAGTTCATCCTGGCACTGGTCGAAAGACTGATGCTTTGCTATGCCCGGCAAAACAACCCGGAAGCAGAGGCTTTGTCTGAGATCCATCCTGCACGAGTCACAGGCTCGCCGACTGCACTTGACCCACTCCGCCGTCTTGGACTTCGAGAAGTCGAAGTTCGCATCCAGATGCTGGCCGCACATGCTGCAGCCAGTGCAGGTAAATGCACAAATCGTACTTCCTCGGTTCGGTCGACTGTCTGCAACAGCTCTCCGCAGATCTGTAGCCCGGGTTGGCTATCGTCAGCAAAGGTTCCCGTGTCTGCAATGACGGAGGTTCGCTGCGGCACGGGAGTGCCAACCTGGCATTCCGAACCAGGCAGAGTCAGTCATGGGCTTTGGCCGCATGCAACATGCCTTCTCTTGGCCGCGCAGTTTTTCCAGCTTTTCCAGGGTCAAGGTGTTCCCAGGGTGCCAGTCTAGAACGCAACCCACGCTGCTCCAACCCTTCATTCAGCCATGCTGCAAGCAAGTCGACATAGTAGTACTGGTACGATGCCTTGGCATGGCACAGCACCATCACCAGCTTCGCAGGTGAGCGTAAATGAACAACCGGGAATCACTCTTTCCAGGCAAGTGACCACGTCTCCGTAGAGCCGGGCCGACTCGATTCCTGTCTCTGCGTCCGGTAAACATCCGAAAGCGCACACACACACACAAGCATCCTCTTCTGCTGCTTTTATCTTCTTATCCTTCGTTTAGTCCTGTTCCGATTCCTGTTTCTTCGGAAAATTTTCACGACAGTGCGACCAGTTGAACACAGTGATCGGCACACTTTACTTTCAAGACGTACATGGCTCAGAAGTCTAGACACTCTGCTTACGATCAAGATGCGCCATGCGGACAACGCAGGCAATTGGACGCGCCTTCCTCTACTGTCTTGAGCTCTCACAAGGGAAAGCGCTGCACTATAGCAGGGCATGCACTCTCAAGCACAGAAACAAGCGGACAGCCTCTGCCTGGCAAACTGCGCATGCTCTGTGCAAGCCAAGATACGCTTGTCTGCATCGTAGAGTGAGCGACTCCTAGTTGTGTGCAGGGTGACGTAGAAAAGATCCAAGGAGTTGAATTTAAGTCTCTGCACTTTTCCGTTGGACCACGGCAGTGTACGGCCTTCAGGCGACAGCTTATTGTGACCCTCGCAATGCATAAATGCAGAAAAGCTTTGGACAAAGCACCGAACAGACACACAGAAACCCTCCCAACAAACACGCCGTAGATCCCAAGATTGAGACCAGTCTGCCAGGCTTCAATCTTTGGTCGCCCAGAGGCATCCCATGGCCAAGCCAAACAGGCGCTCCCACGGGCAGTGACACGATGTGTTTGTCGTGTGATGGGGTCTAGCTTTCAGGAGTTTGGGGTGAGGCGAAATGGGCAAGTAAGATCAAGGAAGAGGCCAAAGCATGTTCTGGTGGAAGGCATCTCGAAGCGTTGACATACTTCGCATCGCACGTAACGTCGCCGGCTCTCGAGATCGCAGATGTTTCGTAGGCTGCAGATACCGCTGGCATTTACTAAGTGGCGAGATCGGAAGATTTTGTTCAAGGGCATGCCATCCAACTGGTGGCTAGTGCTGGTCCCTCTACCGAGCCATACACGATCATGACATGTATGGACGTCAGGTGAAGCCAAACCACAGCACAAGCGCACTGACTGCTAGCACAAACAAGTCTGAAACAGTTAAACATTTGCAGACTCAGAGAATGAAGAAGCAGCGCTGCCTGCTACAAGTAAGCGGAAGGTCTCCGAATCCTGAGGAAGCGTCCAGAACTGAAGGTGCCATTGCATCCAGTCCTCACTACCCTGCATGCCGTCGGATGCCCTCACCTATCGGTGCCTGATGCGTCTCCAAAGAATCAATGCCGGGGCCACGGCTGTAGTTCCAAAGACTGCCACGTACCTACCTTCAGCTGGCTGACCTGATCTCACAAGCTTTCAAACGATGTAGCGCTTGGAGGAGGCCCCGAGCCTCAACTACCAATCGGCTCCCAGTCAGGTAGATGCTACATATCATATGATATTAGATGATGCGGTATGGTATGAATGACATGATATGATATGGTATGATATGATTTGAGTTTTATGATACAACACGATATGACATGATATGATGTGATATGATGTGATATGCGCTTAGATGCTGGAAGACTGCTGCCGACTGTGAAGCCCTGAAGAGTGCAGAAGCGGAAGAAAGCATAGGAACGCTAGCCAGGCAGATTCTCTGATCAGCAAGACGCTTCGCCAACTGCGAAACGCACCATCACTAGCTGAATGCCATGATCCAGCTCTCTCGGGTGCAGACGGCATTCCAAAGGTCTTCTCCTAAGTTCCACCAACACCAACATGTGACATGCTGCGTCATTGTTCGCACACATCCAAACATAAGCGCAAACACACGCCCACGCAAAAACACAAACACGCGCATGCAACCACACAAACAAGAACACCAACCACATAGACATAGACTTAATCTGTCTTTCGATGGGCACGCCGCACGTGCCAAAAGCCGTTTTCCTGTTGTCTGCCCCCACGCTCTCCCTCTTGCTTGCTCGCTCGCTCGTCTGCTTGCTCTGTTGGGCTTAGGGCGCAAGCTTGGCTTTGCTTTGCTACATAAGCTTCTTCCTCTTCTTCTTCTTTTTCTTCTCTCTCTCTCTCTCTCTCTCTCGCGCTTCGTCTACCACATGTACATCATCTGCCACATCCTCACCTTTCAATGATGTTCTGGAGGCTTGTAGCCGCAGCTCTCATGTCCCTTCCTGTACACTTGCACTGCAATACATTTGGCAGAAGCGTCCCGGTTCCTCTCCTGACGAGCTTGGCAAAACTGCGGAAACTTGAAGTTGAAGCCTGCAGTTCTGAGCCCGATGCTGGGCCGGCAGCCATCGAAAATGTCCACCTGGGGCTACAAGTTCCCGCCTTAAGCTGTAGACTGTATGCAAAGTGCAAGCTGTTATGGTTGCGAGATGAGGCGAGACTGAAAAAGATGCGAAATTCTGCACCAAGCCCTTCCTTACTGCAAAACATCCTGCCTGTCGCTTTGACGTCAGCTGGAGAGCAATGTTTTCCTCGGCAACCGTTGGTGACCCAATCATTGGTGGCCGACGCAGCAGATTTTTTGGCACTCGCGCTCGACGGTGTCAGTTTTTTTCTTATCTTCTCGTCATCTCCATGCCGGAACGATCATGTGTAGCAGAACTTGGGCAGCCTCGGCCTTAGAACATGGAGGAGAGGCTGCTCTCATCTCTGCTCGTGGTGCTCTAGTACAAAGGAGATTTCTCTCTTCAACGCTTACATCGAAACAAAGTGGCCGGAGTGTTTCTCCGGGCAGGCGATGGACGCCAAGAGCCCTCCGCTTGGAGTGAGCCCGGCCGAACGGCCTTCCTTAGAAAATAAAACGAGCGAAGAGTCCGAAGCTCACAGCTCCAGCCAACGCTCGAAGGTCACCAGACGTCGACCCATCCGGCAACGTGTCCTGTCCATTGCCGCTCATGCTTGCTGTTGTGCCAAACTGCTCCTCTGGGTTGGGATCCGCAACGTACATCATCTTCCGATTTGCCTCGGCACACGTGGTCAGGTCCGTGCGAGTATAGTCGTCGCAGTAGAAGGCCACCCCATAGCTGCGCCATGTGCCAGCGACTTCACCTGTAAAGTCAACCTGCGGTGTAATCGTCCCGCTCGTGAGGAGCACCGCGCTGGATGCAGCATCGCCTGAGTGAAGCATAACAGAACGAGCATTAGCCATGTTGGTGCCTGATTGGAAGCCACTCCGGCCATCAAGGAAGGCGACTTGCCCGATGTTTATGCTCGTGCCTGCTGTATTCCCAGTATAGGTTGCATACAGGCTTGCGTCGTTCAGCAGGTTGACGGCATTGAAGTAGGTCCACTTCCCAGTGGCGCCGCACATCTTCATGTCCGATGCAGAGATGGTGGCCGCGCTGAGCAGGGTGTCGTGGGCAGGGCAGGCTACAGGTCCATAGTTGTTTCCGTTGGAAGTCGGTAGCTTGCCAATGCTGAGACTGGGGTTCGTGTTCCATACGTAGGTTCGCCGTGTGGTAGCAACATAGTCGCCGGTTCGGTAGAGGAAAACGTTCTTGAGTTGCTCCGCATCATCGCTGATTTCCACCAGGGTGAAATTGGTCCACGAAGCTGTGCCGGTATTCGTCACTCCTGTGTCTCGTGTGGGGGGGCTGCTGCCGGTCATGCCGGGTCCAGCCCATGCACCGCCACCCAGTGAGCACTGCACGGCAGCGCAGGCACCCGAGAGCCGCGCATTCCCGTTCTGGATGAAGACACTACAGCCCAAGTCCCTTTCGGTGGACAGCTCCTCCACTGCACTTGCGCCGGATCGCACCCAGTTGTCAACGTACTCACGGATTGGATACAGCTTGCACTCTCCAGCCGCGATTTCGAGTGACTCGGTAGCGCAATCTTGGATGTCGGGGTGGTTGATGTAGCAGGTACCGCCGAAGAGGTTGCACACCTGGACATGGAATGCGATGCCTGTGGTGATGTTAGCTGCGCCACTCGTGCACCGGGTCACATTTGGCTCCTGCGCAGCTGTCATAGACACCCAAACCAAGGCACACAACAAGCGAAGGGAACGGTGGTCCATTGCAAAACACGGGCCCAGATCAGATCAGATCAAAACACCGATGGATAAGGGCGGAGCGATGCTTCGCAGTGAGAACCACAGTTACCGGGTCTTGAGCCGTACTGTAGCCATTACATAAACGCAAAGTGCCCGAACCTCGCCAATCATGCAGCTCTGCCCCAGGTCCTAGAGGATCGCCCTGGACATGCTGCTCAGCAAACTTGAATTGAAGTTTACGCATGAAGCATGAAACTAGCTCCACCTAGCTCAAGTTGTCGACATGATCATGCTTTAGTTGCTGAGGCATCCACTGCCAGCCCACCCCAAAGCTCGGAATCTTTGGGACAAGGTACCTGCATCACTGCGACCACCCGAAACGGCCTAAAGCCACGGGCTCCCGATCCGAACATAGACACTTTCACCGAGACCTTTCCGAACCCCTCGCGCACGTAAGATCTGCAACAAACAGAATCGTCTTCCCCAGCAGCTCATGCACCGGTGGTCACTGAACGGCGACCACACGCGAGCGCAACAGCCTGCTGAGCCATGGAAAAAGACGAGCTCTGCTGCTGCACGGCTGATTATTCTGGCTCACAGCAGCAAGGCACTCCCACGCACGATGTGCAGAGCAAGGCTTCCCCAGGCTGATAAAAGCTGAGCCGCCAACTGTTTCAATTGGAACCAATGGTTCGTTACCCTGCAGCGATGCCACAACACGCCTCGACAAATGCGCCGAATAGACCGATCTCTTCATCCGGCCAGGCGTTGTGAACCCACGAAGACTTACAAAGGCTGAACCTCACGACTAACCGACCGTTGAAGCGAAGCGCCCGAGGCAGCAGTGCGCCTCTGGAGCTCGGCAATCAGCTCCTCCTCGAAGGCCCGCCGCGATTTACTTCATTTCGTGCACAAACGCCCAAATCCCCCCAGGCCCGACAAAAAACCGGGAAGCCGCATGAAGCAACTGCGAAGCCAAAGGCACTATGCTGAGACTGAAGGGCTTCGTGAAATGCAGGAAGGACGTTTTTCTTCGCATTCTCGGCTGCCGCATCGCAAGCTACAGCATGGCAGTTCCATGGTGCCCGGACGTTGCCACGCCTGCAACTTGTTCCCGGGCAGCTCGAGCACATCGAGCAGCAGCTCCAAGGGAACGGGGACCTGTCTGTTGATCTCAAGGCTTAAGCCCGGAACCCTCACTCCCTTTCTGGTCGTTGTTGTGGTGGTCTGTTGGAGCCTTCGAAATGTGCGCCAGTCTGGGGCTCTTCTGGTGTAGTCATGTGCAGGTTATGCGCAGGGACGGGCTGTGAGGCTCGTCGGAGGCGCAGCAGCAAGCAGCTGTTCGAACAAGCATTCAAAGTCAGGGTTCATGCACCTGCTCCAGCTCCATACCCAGGCTCTCCACGACGACATCTAAGACCTGCAAGAACCGAGACACTCCTCCTCACTGTCGCCACTTCTGGCATGGAATCCCTTAAGTCCGAGTTCCTCCCTGGGTCGCCCTGATCTGCGTGCCTAGAAACCTGCCGTTCTCAGGCCCGGGCTCGTGCCGTCAAGGCCTCTGTTGCTGAAGGTCTAGGGGCTCGGGGGGGGGTTTAGGGTTTACGCTCTCACAACTCGGACATGCCAGGCGAGGTTCATGGGTTTAGGGTTTAGGGTTCAGTATGGCTCAGTGTTTAAAGGCTCCATGCTACTAAGTAGATCTCTTGGCTTGGCTTGTCGAAAGTGCTCTCTGCCGCTGTGAAGAATGGGCACCATCATAGAGTTGGGGCAGGTCCCGGCAGACTGCCTTCGCTAAGCCTTCACGGTCGCGCCGCTGCCACGCCAAAGCCTGTCCACATTCCCGACACAAGCTTAGGCCAACCAAATGCTGCTGCAACGAAGGAGAACCAGCTAGAGCTGGATCCTCATGCGCCCACACGTCCGTCAGAAGCACGACTCGTACGACCGCCAGCCTGCTGCAGCGCAGCTCGGCCTCGAATCAGCCAAGATTTGTGTCAAGACGTCACAACGCACAGTCTTCACTGGGAATCCCCTTGTACTCCCAGTATACCCCACAAACGGTGTCCTGGAAATGAAATCGCTGGACTCCCCCTCCATTCAACTGGCATCCACTGTTGAGTCGGCTAGGGTCGCGGCAGAAGCCCCAGCCGGTGATCCAGTTGCTCAAGGCACCCCTGGAGCTGACGTGGCAGATGGCTTGCGCGAGCTGTCAGAAAATGCGGGGCGGGCCTGAGCGACCGGTCCCACCACTCCAGCGCCAGACTGCGGAAGTCCGGAACGCCGAGCTGCAGAGGGCAACAAGCGAGGAAGGTTTCGGATAGAATCATTCTGGCATATTGTGGGTGAATGCCAAATTGCGGTCTACGTCTGACATGCCAAACCGGAGCCTCCCTCCCTCCCCGGCCTCCTCAGGAACCTCGAGATCCTGCATATCATCCATGGAAGCCAACCTGACACAGCAGCCGAAGCTGCCGAAACCCATCTGCTGCCAAGTCTTGATGCCGCTCGTCCCTCAAGCTGCTCTGAAGCCTGCAGGCCAGCACCAACTGAGACGCTGGAAAGCAGACAATGTACTGGTCCTGAGTTGGCGCGAGGTCGAGCGCACGCGCAATGCGGAAATCGCAGCAGCTGGCACAAAGAGGCTCGCGGCAAATGGTTAGAATGAGCCCTGCACCATGGCAACTGCAAGAAGGAAGCCTTGGCATGTTGGACTAGGAGAGCTTCCGTCAGGGGGTGCCAAACCGCTACCTCCACGAAGGAGGCGGGAAGTCAGTGTCCAAAAAGGCAGAGCTCCACAGGCGTGCTGCCAAGTGGCAAAGCGAGAGCGGTGGGTCTGGAGTCCGGCGATCATCCCAAATCTGACGGACTAATTCTCGGCGCACAACTAGGACAACACAAAGCGACAAGGAGATGTCAGTCCAAAGTTCGAGAAGCCCGCCGAAGTTCCCAGCTGTACGATGGCTGGCCGAACATCCCATCGCCGAAATGGTTGCTGGTAGCGAACACACCCAGTGGAGTGCAGCAGTGTGCCGGGGTATATTGTCGCACTCATGGTCTCGGGAACGGTCCACCAGCAGCTAAAGCAGCTAAAGCATGGTTGACATGACCCTTGGGAAGCAAATTCTGACTGCAAGCTTGAATGTGTGAAGGCCTCCAGGATCACGGACATCTGCTGCCAGCTAAGGTGCCGCAGCGCAAAGGGATCCTCATGGCACCACGTCCGGCTGCTGGGTCCAACGGGGCCGTCTTGACAACCGGGCAACGATTGCAAACCTACAGCTACAGCATGCTGCAGCACGAGTCCTTCTCACTGGCCACAAGAAGGGCCTGGCGGCAAGGCTTGTCAGATGCCAGCACAGCAAGTCCGAACAGTGAAATTACTTGCCATTCTCTGGAACGGAAAGCGGCAAAGCTTGGCCGCTCCTGTCTGAGGGCTGAGGGCATCGCCTTAGCCAGCACAGCAGCATAGCATCTGTCAAGAACGCACCACACATTTGACACATCCAAAGCGTTCGCAACTCACAACTGAAGCTCCAGGCCACCAGCCGTTTGTGGAGAACCTCGAGCACTCAAGTGACAATTATGGGCTGCTGATGCTCCGCTCTTCTGAAACGCCCATTACAACCCCTGTGCGCCACATGCCTCCACCTGTGCAGCAAGAGCATCTGGATGGAGGCTGCGCCAGCCTGACACGGCATTCACTTCTCATTCCACTAGCAGAGTTTGGATAGTCGTCGCGGGCGCTCGTCATGGAAACATATGGAAACCTAAACCCCCCTCCCCTACACCCCCCTAACCCCTCGCATCACGAGACCAAAGGCCTCAGCAAGCACTTAGCAAACTCTCATTCTTGCCAAGGCCTTCCTAAGCAATTAATCTGCTAAGTGCTCGTCCTGGGTAAGGCGGCGGGGGTGTTAGAGGGGGGGGGGGGGGGGGGGCGTGGTTCAGGTTGCCATGAGCTCGGCAAAGCGAGCCGCTGCGTGAAGACATGTGATGATGAAGGCATGGAGGTTAAATATAATACAGGTCAGAGCGTACGGAGCAGAAACACCTCCGCGAGCTGCTTCCAGCAAGGCGCCTGCACAGGGAAGCAACAAGTCCATTGCGCGACTTCTGTGCTCATTGATTCAATGGAATAGCCCAAAACCGGACAACTTGTTCAAACCGCCTGAAAAACTGTCACACACCGCATCTGGGGGTCGAGCTTTTGCTGGCTGAGACCGAAGGGCCTGGGCGCCGGTCCGTATCCAATGTTTAGTAAGATAGGAGCAGGCTATACCAGGAGGAGACTGCGTTGGTACATAATTTGTATAGACGGAAACAGCCCATCAGAGGTACCGAGCGCATCCGACTTGCTCCCTCAGAAACGGGCCTTGCAGAGCTCCAGAAGGTCTGGCTCCACCTTGCTTAGTGCCACTAAGCTTCACAAGAGCTTAAATGCAAGTGATCCTTCTTGCATGTCCTATGCGGCATCGCGACAACGACAAACAGTGAAGTGGAGAGCACGACTTGGCTCGCAGCTGGGAGCGCTTGCTTCGTATTCCGATTTCGGCACTGACCGGCTGAGTGAAACACTACAAGCGGCTGATAATAAAGGACATCAAAAGACAAATCCCATAGATAGACTCTACTATGGCGGCAAAAGCGTCCTCTCTCTACAACAAGAGACGACTGTGCACCGGAGGCCGCAGAAAATCACCGCGTGATCCAATCTTGACGCGCGGGCGCCACGTAATCGGGCGCACGGCCCATGTACGCCAACCTACGTTTTACGCGGCCTGCGTGGCACGAAAGGTTGGAACATGTTGCTTGCTTGTTTCTTCCATGGTTTTATGTCTTTCGATTGCAGTGGCAACGGCAGAATTTCTGACTTGCGTTTCCCGTCGATTGGGTGTTGAAGTCTCAAAGATGGTCTCTTTGGCTGATTTTGGTCTTTTCCTGCAGGAACCCTTTTCTCACGAAAAGTTTGCTTCTTACTGTTGGAAAGTGGTGAACGCAAATTTTGCAAGCATGTGTTTGTTGTTTGTTCCGCGTGGCCGGCATGATGTTTCGCAAGACAAAAACAGCGAATTTGGCAGAATGAAGACGACGAGCATGAAAGTAACGGCGCAGAGGCAAACACAGACAAGGATGAAGAAGAGGACGACGATCGGGGTGATGTTGGCGGTGATGACAAGGGCCATGGTGCCGTGAAAAGGTGCTGATTGGATGCTCTCGCAATGGGATGGGGTCGGCGTGGCGCCCGCTTATTAAAGGGCGCCTTTCAAGATAGCCTCTCCACGAGCATCCGTGGTAGCCCACGCAATCCTTCCCGACGTAGCTCTGCTCTCCTTGTCAAGCTCGGCTACCCTCTATCCAAGCCACGGCCTTCAGGATAGCCTCCGGCACGGTAAGGCCACAGAGCTCGTCGCCTCTAGCCACCAGGTAGTCGGTACAGATCTATCGGCCTGCCCGGGGTCTCTCCCCTTTAGCCTCCCATAGCCATAGCCGCAATCGCCTGCAGATGGTGACGTAGCTCTTCAGCGTGCTTGGGCGGGTCTTGCCCCGTAGCCCGGGTGCCTGGCATAGCTCCAGTTCCTCGTGCAGCTTGGCCGCCCAGACACCCTGTAGCCGTTTTTCGCGCGCGCCATCAGGTCGGCAGACTCTTTCGGGCATCCTGTATCCAGAGGTAGAGGGAGTCGCCGATGTAGGGCTCAGCCCACCTCGTCAGTTAGCTGCTTCGCCACGGCCTCGGTCTCGTCTAGCCCACTGGTAGCCAACTCCAGAACCCCGAATCCCCGATCCAGATGCGCATAGCACCTGTCCAGGTTAACCGAACGGGGTTCCGGATCACTAGCCGCCAAACCCGGGACGACTGGGATCCCTCTCCCGGTCTCGACCTTTCTTGGGGCACCAGGCGGGACGCTATTAATTACGGTTCGGGCATGGATTCTCTGGCAACGGCAAGGGGGCAGTGGACGTTGTTGCGGTTGGGGCATGGATGCTCTGGCAATGGCATAGGGGCGGAGTGGACGTTATCGTGGACGTTATTACGGTTGGGGCATGGATACTCTGGCAATGGGATGGGGTCGGAGGACAGTAAGTACGGAGTAGACCATGGACGTCATCATGGCTGAGCCATGGATGCTCTCTTCTCAGATCGGACCAGACCCAGGACGTCATCATGGTTGAGCCATGGATGCTCTCTTCTCAGAACGGATCAGACCATGGACGTCATCACGGTTGGGCCATGGATGTGGAGGAAACACCACAAATACGAATGGTTTCGGTATTGCAAGCAAAGGAAACGCCGTAAATACCAAGGGTTTCGGCACATTTCGGAGAATTCGTGACTTCACGGGCACCGATATATTCGGCACATGAAGTAAGGAAAACATCGTAAATACCGATGAAATCGGCATGGGTTTTGCGCATTGACGTGGCGTCCGAGCCAATCTTGATTTCCATCAACTGATATCAACTGATGAGGCACAAGTGGCCATGCCCTGCCGAAGGGCTCTTGGAAACCATGAACTTCACAGGCCCTTCCGGCCAATGCTCCCCGAGGCTGCCTTGCCCAGAAACTGTAAGCCCAAACCCGAAAGCCCATGGCCTTGACCCTGAAGTCCCCAGCACTGCGCCAGCTATGCAAAGCTTGGATACACAGTTCTGAAACCGTTCGTAGGGACTTGGTGTCAGGCGTACTCGAGGGGATTCTGCCGAGCATCCTGCCGCCGGTGGGCACCACGCATGCTTCACGCATTCCACGCTCGCGCCAGCTTGGCAAAAGCGTTGCGATTTCTCAATCTAACAGGTGCCGCTCAGTCCTCCAAAACGGGGTCGGCCAAGACAGTGACGACACCACCCAAGTGGCGGGCGAAGACGACAACTAGCCGGAGGGCCTCCAAGCGCAGATTCGTAGAAGATCGTAGAAGTTTCGTAGATGAACCCATTGAGAGCACCAGCTGACCAAGCATTTTCCGGCTCGACCGACTAGTCATTTTTTGCGGACGGATGCCTGAGGCCTCAGCCTGAGGCTTGCCTGCTTGACCCGACTGATCTAAGTCAGCGTCTAAACCACTGGGCCTCCTCAGGACTCGCGTCAGCAATGCACGTCTCGTCCTTTGGCAAGTGCGGGCTCAGGGTTTGGTTACAGGTTCTAGTCTGGGTGCAAAGGCTGCAAAGGGGTGAGGTCTGCGATGGTCTGCGTGCTGTGGCCTCTTCGATGAGATGTTTGAGCAGCAGGGCAGCGGCGCGCGCAGTGGCAGCGTCCTGTGGCCAAAAGGTTGACAGCCAAACGCTCGTTGCAAAATCAGCAAAGTAAAGGCAGAGCGCTTTTTGGGCACACGACTTCTTCACCCCATGAAGTGGGACGTGGTCGCTGGGTCGTGGCGCCATTTCAAAGACAGCGACGTACCATGCCGCAGAAGCTCCTGGACTTGCTGCAAGCTGGGCATGCTGAGGTTGCGGGCCTCCTAGGGAATCTACGTGCCCGGCTCCATCCGCCGTGCCTCGGCAATTTGGGTTCCATTCAACGGTGAGGTGTGCCTGCGGCGGCGCAGCGGGACATCAACCTGAGCATTGTGGGGCTCGACGCGCTTCTCATGTCCAGTCCCAACATGTATGTGGCATCATGGGCTGGTCGCAACCGGATCATGAAACCTGTCTTGGGATCCTGACCGGGTACAAGTTATCGTCACGCACAGAGGTTGGATTCGTCCCGCAATGCTGGCGAAGCTCCTCGAATGACAAGGCACTGGATTGACACCCAGCAACAGCTTTTGTTGCTCTACTTCGTGCCAGCGGCCCAAAGCAGCACCGACCCCAAGGCGTGGCTGTCAGGACGGTCATAGCTGAGAAGCGGGGCCACCTGCAATTCTTCCGAGCCAATGCCCAGCGCACAACTCGAACAAACGCATGATTTGGCACTAACCATGTGCAGACGATCTTCCCAGAGTCTCTCGCATAAGACGCCATCGACATCACAAGGTTCGAGATGCAGATCTCGACGTGGATCACAACATGCGAGCCTCCTGCAAGGCCCGGTAACGCGCAGCGAGCTCGCGACGTGGCATTGCCTGGCGCTGTGATAAGGAAGCAGCTGATGCTCATGATGCTGGCCTTGGGGTTGTGGTGCACGTGCTATGGGGGCGCTGTGCTGTGAGCCCAGGGGCGGCTGGTCTGCCCCACCCCTTCTTCGTGAGCACAGCGCAAGATTGGCAAAGAGCACGGAACAACAGACCTTCTCCTTACATTGCCACGCTTGCCCCCCAGTGCCTGCAACTGAATGAGTTGAATGACTTGACGGCAATAATTCCGGGGTGTTGTTCCGTGCGGCAGCTGATGCTCATGATTCTGGCCTTTGGCCCTTGGGTGCCCGTCGATACAAGCAGCTGTTGGGTGAGTAACCCCCAGCTCTGCTGTTCTCAACCGGTACGGAGCAAAGCCTCCAGTCGGCGCAGGACGCCGGTCAAGTTCTGCATCCACTGCTCCTGATCCATGAGACTCAGGGCACAAACCTGCTTCCTCTGCTAACTCGAAGGGCGGTTCTTCTGTACCAGAATCACCGACAGAAACCACTGCTTAGCATTCAGGAAACACTGCTCCCAAGAAATCTCCTCCGGGATGAACACAGCGTAGGCTTCATGCTTTACGTGCCCGGAAAACCTTCCCGACGAAGGCTGGCATTAGCATGCCGTGGAGTGTTGCGTATACTTGGCCGCTCATGCAGTCCATTCAACAGATCGGCGACAGTTGGGCCGGGGAGCGGCGCGAAAGTATAAAGCCATTGGTCGCTGACCACCACCTAAGGAGCACAGCCAGTCTCGTGAATTGGGTTCATCGCATCTGGTGATCTCATGCTCGACTCCTTCAATACTGAACACAGCCACGGCGGGTAACACCTGCATGGCAGTTTTGCCACCTCCGCCATCGATCTATTCTACGTAGCTGAGCGGCGGGGATGCAGCCGTGAAGAACTGCGTCGTAGAACTTCCGAGTCGGGCCCCCGTTCCTGGCCAAAAGGCAAATGTGAGCACGACGACCACGAGGATGCTTCAAAAGGCCTTCCGGCAATCGCAAAGCAGAACCGGCTGCTTTGGAAGCCATGCTGGAGCTCTGAACCTCGGTTGCCGTCTCTGGCCACTCTGGCGTTCCGAGCCTTATCCCAATCCTGTAACGAGCGTGGTACTCTGCACGAACTGATCGCCAACCCACACCCGCGAGGGGCGGCGAGCGAAATTTCGAACATTCAGAGCCTCCGGGACTCCCGACTCCCTATAAGCCCTAGAAAAGTCAGACCATGCTTCTTTGCAACAAGGGGAGCCATGCCTGCGCTCGCAAGTTCCGAGAATGTTCGTCCTGATAGTACCCGGAAAACCTCAGAGGTGACTCAAGGCCGGGCTGCCACCGGAATACTCTGAAACTTGTAGAACTCGTGGCCAGTAAACTGTCGGAATGCAGGTCGGGCGCTGGTGATAGAACAGATATTTGCGCTTCAGCCACACCTGCCATGAAATCTTGGAGGCCGGGCACCGTTCTGCTGGTCGCTCTGATTGCACCTCAAACTCCTCCACATGGTATTCGGAGAAGGGAAAGCTCTGTACCTCAACACACGAGTACATTCTTAGAGAGGAATGCTGCATGGTGATTCCCATTCCACGTAATGCGCTCGACCCCCTCTTTGTGCTGCATCCATCACGATAGATAGATAGAAAGACAGATAGGTAGGTAGATAGATAGATGAATAAGTAAATAGATAGGTAGACAGATAGATAGATAGATAGATAGAAAGGTAGGTAGATAGAGAGGTAGGTAGATAGATAGGTAAATAGATAGATAAATAGATAGACAGTTAGATAGGTAGATAGATAGAGAGATAGAAGGAGATAAAGATGTATAGATAGACAGATAGATACGTAGGTAGATAGAGACCGAGAGAGAGAAAGATAGATAGATAGATAGATAGATAGATAGACAGACAGACAAGTAGATATATAGATGGATAGATAGATAAATAGATAAACACATAGATAAATAGATAGATAGATAGGTAGGTAGATAGATAGATCGATAGATCCATAGATCGAGAGATCGATAGATAAATTGATGGATTGATTGATAGATAGGTAGCTAGATAGATGGATAAGTAGGTACGTAGACAGATAGATAGATAGATAGATAGGTAGATAAATAGACAGACGGACAGACAGACAGATAGATCGAGAGAAAGAGAGAGACAGAGAGAGAGAGAGAGAGAGAGAGCTATATCTATACCTTTATCTAGATCTATCTATCTATCTATCTACATCCGACAGAGCGCTTTGGGTCCCAGGCAAAAGGTACGGGCAATGAACATCTCCAAGGCCTTTTCCTGAATGCGATAGCTGCGGGTGTTGCGGCTTACAGGAAAGAACTCGATCCGTGCCCGTCCTCCGGTTGCCCTGCAGCATGTAGAGATCACCAGAGTTCTCAAGAGGTGTGGCCTTCAGTGATCGCCCAGGGAAGAGCTCCATCACACCGACGGTCATGAAGTGCAAGTGGTTCCTGGACGCTCGAGAGCAGCACGAGAGACGTGAAGGGAGTCGTTCAGGCCATCGCACAAAGCAGAGGTTCCAGTCAGACCCAGTCAGACCAACCAACTGCTGGTGACGAACGCCCTTGGAAACTTTCGAGCACGAAGAAAACGAAACAGTGCTGGGCTTTCAATTTCGAAGAGGCGCGCCATCCGCAAGGCATCGGCAAGAATTGGCGCGAACTTCTCGATGAGACGCTCGGGATAGTTCGCCGACATCCTGGGTATCAACACTGTAAGCCAGGGCGTCAAGTTGCAAGTCCAACACTGCAGAGCTCTGGAGCCCTGCAAAATGAGCGAAAAGTGTCACGTCTGAGAACAGAAGCCGCTAAGCCTGCATTTCCAGTTGAACGTATGCGCAGACTCAGAAAGAACGGACGGTTTGAGCGAGAGATACGGACAAGCCACATCGCAAATGTGAATTACCTTCACTTAGCCGCATGGGTCTTCTGCGGACAGGTCACATCCAGAAATGATCGGCGCCACTCTTCTTCGTGATGTGCGTCTGCTCAAACCTCGGATGTGGGAGTCTGAGCGGGGACATCTTGGATAGGGCCCTTGACTCTTCCGCTTGTGAAGACTCGAATGCCCACTACAAAGGTGTCCAACGCATTGGTGGGACCATGTGGATCTCCGATGTCACGGGCAGTTGTTACTTGCACCAAGCAATCCTTCACCTTCACATGATATATAGTCCTACCGGAAGCACCCGTCAGTACTTCACTTCCCGGTTCTGGCACAGCGTCGGGCCCACAGTACAGAGATTCATTTACAAGGCATCTTCAGTGTATGTGAGCACACTACCTGACCTCTCTCCCGGCTGATTTGAGCACAACGGACCCCTTAGCCCCTTGGGTCCCTTTTTCAGCGCTGGCCTGTGCAACCCTCACCCCGTCTTAAGGCAAGAGCACACAGGAAAAGCTGTTGATGACAACGGAAGCTTGGGCTCCTAAACCTCCAACAGATTGAAGAGTTTGGCGGCCGCTGACAGAACAGACAAGGTCCCAGACGCAATAAGCCCAACGTCTCGAGAAGATGCTGCTCGTACCTCGGCAGAGATCCCACGCTTTGGGAGGAAGGGGGGTTGCACAAGGGATCCATGAGGGTGCTATTAGCAGTGCGGATGATTTGCCTCCCACATCGTCAGGTCCCGTGAAGCAGCGTGGCAGCTGTGTTCATAACATTTGGACGTTCAGCTAAGTAAAGGCTCAAGCGGTTTACATCCTCACTTCGCAGAAGTAAGCGCGCCCCGGCCGGGATCCTGCTAAATCTCCGCGGCCGTCCCTGCGCTGGCTCCCTGCTTTGCATCAATCCGAAAGGCCGTGCTAACAGTAAGTAAGTGCAGGAAGAGCCACGAGCCGAGAGCAAGCCTGTCCACAACCCAAAAGATAACATATTGATATTGCCAGTACAGGCAGAATGTGATCTCGATGCCTTCCTTACAAGCTCCAGCTAATCCCGAACAGCGAATAGAGGCAGAAGCAGCGAAACAGTAGGGCACAAGCAGGGCTTTGGGTGTAGAGAGCATGATCCAGGTCTGAGCTGCATCTGAGGGCCGCAAAACTTTGAGTCATCTGCATCGAGGTCCGAAGGATCAATGTCGATCCTGACTGCGAATGCTTCGCCAAGTCGAATCCGAGCCCGAGGTCCAGCAGCACTGCTACGTTAAGGACTGCCTAGCATGCGCCTGACATTCGCTAGTGTCCTCCAAGACGATAGGGCTTCAAACCATGCCTGTCCACCTCTCCAAAATTCTAACTCTAGTCACGCTTATTCAGCAAGCATGAGGACTTTTGTTGGAACAGGAATCGGAATAATGAAGACCTCTGCCTCCGAGGCCTCAAAGGTCCGCCAGGGATGGGTCATCCTCGGAAAGTCAAGGAGCAAGGGATGATGGGGTTGGGACGGGGCACGCAGTCCCAGCCTTGGGGCCGCCGCTCGTTGGAGTCAGGTCATACATTAAACCCCTAGCTTCGCGGAAACTTGTCGGCTCCGATATGCTCCGATGCTAAAGTCTTCCTGGCAAGAATCTTTCCGGAACCAAGACATCCTAAATCCCAAACCCTTTTTGCAACAGGCTTTCCACTTCGCCCGGAGTTGGAGCAAAATCCCAAACCCTACATCCTAAACTTTTCCCTACAGAAGATTCCAAGTCGCATCATCCGGTTGAAGTACTTCGCTGCAGCGAACTCGTGCACAGCTCCGAGGCTGGCCTCGTCGCGCAGGGCTGCAACTCACAAGTTCGCAACGCCAGATGCGCTTTCCCACCCAAAGGCCCCCTAGACCCCAACCCTTGTCACGGTGAGTCGCTTAACTGCGTGGCTTCAGGTCACTTCAAAACGTCGATTTCCTAAGCCAAAAGACGAGGGCGAAGCGAAAATTCTACGTAATGGAAAACGGCACAACGGCTTTATTCTCATGGCTCAAAACGGCGTGACACTGGCGAGGCGCGTTGTAGCGGAGGTCGACAGAAGCCACAGTCCATCTGCTCCGGTTTTCCAACACACTCGTCTTTCGCTTCATGCCTCCAACTGACCGATATGTTTCACGTGGTTTGTGGACATGCTTGTCGCAGCATGTTTCGTGAAAGAATTTGGACACCAATCATGGAAATCAAGACGACAAAAACATCTGGCATTTGGCATCTAGACAGGGTCAGAGTCATGGATTGCAACGTCACACAAACGGCTGCATATGTACAGCGTCCAAGCAGCAGTGGCCCATGAGTCCTCGGCGTTCGAAAGTGCTGCTACGAGTGTTGACGACAATTGCATACGAAACACTGCAATGTACTGGATATCTTTGCCAATGGAGGCCCTGCACTGCTATGCTGTGCGAGCCAGCGACCGTGAAGCATAGTGACATTGTTGTACAGAAAGAAAGGAACTGGTGGAGGAAGTGCAGGGGTCGGGTTTCCGGCGGTCAGCATTGAAAGCCATGGCGCAGCTGCAAAGTAAGGACGTTTCTGGGCACCTTGTGACCTGTGCTTGATAGCTAGACAGATTCTGTCCGCCTGCTTGTTGTGATATCTTATTGCGTTTGGCTAGCTGGAAGGGCCTTATTTTTGAGTCGAGATCTGAGTCTACAACTTGCCCATGTCCCTTCAGATGGCAGGGGCCGCTAGACAGGGCTACAGAGCATCAAGCATGCCACAAACAACCACTTTGCTCCTGCTCGAAAAAGGCATTGTTAACAGCAAGTGATAACAACGGCCGTCAGCACCAGGTAAGACAAAAGTTATCCTATAGCTAGAAGAGACGCGCAACATAAAATGATAGCAATTTGAAGAGCAGTTGTCGTCAGAATTCATAGCATGAATGCAATTTCCAAACGGGAATATGTTTCTGTTGGTACGTTCTTGTCATACCAGGACTCGAGACAGTTGCAGCGCCGCGGGTGGGGGAAGGTCCTGAAACCTTTGCCGCTCCCGGCGCTCAGCGAGCTCACGCTCCTTGCAGGTACGGTATCACTTCTTACTTATCTTTTGTTCTGATAACTATGCTGTTAAAGAGGTGCTGCTTAATATCATACTTGTCCGTGACTGATGACAACTACGATGAGTATTTACTCACCACTATTACTAATCACCTCTTCTACGTACTCTTACTCTTGCTCCTCTGAAAGTTGGTCTTAGCTACTGCTACTGCTATTCTCCAACACAACTCTCAAAACAGTGACATATACAACCACAGGCGCCACAGAATCAACGTCGGACAATCACTATTATAGTAGTGCTTCTGTGCTTTTTCATTTTGGATATAACTAGTGTTACTTCTGCTGTTGCTTGCATACACTAGCCAATAATATTACAATTAGTGTCACCCTTGTTGCTGAAACTGTTGGTCTTGTTGCCGGACTGCCACTGGACTGCATCTTGATTTCAAAGAACGACAGCAGCAGCTGCAACAACGACAACAAGAAGTTTCTACGACGACTACTACGACCATCACCGCGACCATGACAAGCCCACGGCCACGGCCATGGCCCCCGGCCACTGCTGCTGCTGCTGCTGCTGTTGCTTCTACTGCTGCTGCTACTGCTGTTGCTACTGTTGCTGCTGCTGCTGCTGCTGCTGCTGCTGCTGCTGCTGCTCCCTCTCCTACTCCTGCTCTTGGTCCTGCTCCTACACCTTACTGCTACTACTCCTCCTCCTCCTCCTGCTCCTCCTCCTACTCCTATCATTCCTATACTTGCTCCTCACTTACTACTACTACTACTACTACTCCTCCTCCTCCTCCTCCTCCTCCTCCTCTTCCTCCTGCTGCTGCTGTTGCTGCTGCTACTACTACTACTACTGCTGCTGCTGCTGCTGCTACTCCTACTACTACTACGACTACTACTACTACTACTACTACTACTACTGCTACTACTACTACTACTACTACTCCTGCTGCTGCTACTACCACTACTCCTGCTGCTGCTACTACTACTCCTACTCCTACTCCTACTCCTACTACTCCTACTCCTACTCCTACTCCTACTCCTACTACTACTACTACTACTACTACTACTATTACAACGACGACTTCTGTCGCAGTCATACAACAGTAGCAGCAGCAGCAGCAGCAGCAGCAGCAGCCGCAGCGCCGGCTGCTGAGTACCAATCGCCCCGGATTATTGAACTCTCCTTATAATAAACATTGCCGGGAGCATTTGGCCCGGAGTGCACCCCAAGAGGAAGTTGAAAGGGGCAACACTGTAGTACAAAAAGGATCGCTTCTGGTACAGCCTGTAACTAACCCTTAGCCTTCAAAGCATCTCTCTCTCACTCCCTCGCAGAGTTTAGATTCAGGGATTCTCCCAGCATCCAAAACCTTACGATTGCAGAAGGGAATGTGTACCGGAACCTATGAGTTGAGTTCCCTTCCTTCTCAAAGTTTCGGCTCTCTTAGAGCTGCACGCACTGCCCGGGAACTGCCGGCACTGCCAGAACTGCAGCAACCGCAGGAAAGCAGGACCGCAAAGGCTGCGGCCTGCCAAAAGAGGGCACTGAGCATTGGGAAGATTGAAAGCCACCACCCCTAATACCAAAAAGCATTTTCCGTGACATTTTCATGGAATATATTCAGTACTAGGAGATTTAGTAATAGGGGGAAGCGATTAATGTTGCTAGTCCTTCGTTCTTGTTACAGTTGAGGCTGCTATCGGTGGCTTTCTTCTCTCGATCTTCTTGCTCTGGTGATACAACTTCCGGCATACCGTATGCAAGTGCACCCGACGAGCTTCTTGCCGAGGTCCTTCTGCTCGCCCAGGGCATTACGCATCCTGGATTCTGCTCTCATGAACCTCACACTACCTCGACATGCGCCGTGCGTGTGACATGGTCAGCCTATGCTTTTAGGATCCTGAGCTTCGGGCTCCGGACTCTTGGCCGCGCTGGCCTCTTGCACCTGACATCCGAAAGCTGAACGAAAGAAAGAATGAGGCAGGATCGCTTCTGATGCTTTTAACTTTGCTCTCTCTTTTTCACCGGTTCAGAGAAGAGCGAAAGACGGAAGATGTCGTGGCCAGGCCTGCTCTGGAGCATCGAGTAGATCCTCAGACTCACTGAATTCGTCCGACGGCACTGAGCTAAGCCCTCTACAATTGCGCGGGGAGCTTCAGACTGCATCCCTACAGGTGTGGCGAGCCTCCGCAAGATACAAGTCCCCTGCATGCCCTGGCCTCCGTTGAAAGTGGCTTCCTGGACGGAATGGCGTAGAGAGGTCCTCCTTGGGGAGTGCCAGCACGGGTCTGCGGGCAACACGTCATCTCTTGCTCAAGGGCCGCCTTCCAGTCGAACAGCAGTACTGGGGCCCCACCTTGAAGGACCGGGAGGATAAAACTAAAGCAGCACATTTTCTCAAGATGGCAAAAACTAAACGATGGGTAGTGTAATAATGCTAATCATCATGTGCATCATCATCACCATCATCGTCATACTGTGCCCGAATGCCCTGAGCCAAGGCAGGCCACGTAGCGTTTTTTCGAGTAACAATAACCGTAAATGAAAAGCAACAGCTACAACAGAAGTACCGCTCAAAACAACAAACATGAAAATGATAGCAGCAATACAAGCAACAACAATAATGATCGAAGTAACAGCACGATTAACCACCAGAGTTTTTAACTACAGTATACTACAGCCATACACAATGAATAATGGTAGCAGGAGATGTAAGAGTACTAACATCGAAAAAGAATCAGAAGACAAAGACAACGAAAGCGGCTTGCCGCAGCACAAGCCTGCAAGAAGCTTTAACCTATCCGAGTCTGGATGAGCCAAACGAACTAGGATCACGGCAGAGCAATGCGACCATGCCTACCTTCTGTCAAGACTTCAAGCAGCCAAGTCAGTCAGTGTCGCTGAGCTCTTCCGAGGCAGAAACCATTCACCAGGCTGCAGCGGGGGAGATCATGCGTGCCGGCTTGTCACATCTAAATCTAAAGACTAAAGACAAGGAAAGGAGCAGCTGGCAAATGACATCATGCCCCGCCTTTATGAGAAGACAGAGGCACCCGTTCTCGTTTACATGCCGAGAAACCACCAAACTGCCACCAAAAACTTGACAACAGTGCCTGGCGCCGTCTCCGCCGCATCCCGCGTCTCGTCTTCGCCCGGCGAGGGAGCTGCGATGAAGGATGATGGTCTGCAACTTCGTTTCGTTTCGTCTTTGGGCCCAGAGCTTTCACTAAAAATCAGTACTGCTTCTGTTGGCAATAGTTCGGGAACCAAGAAATCCAGCTTTCCCACTTACCGGCAACTTGCTCCGTTGAGAAGGCAACGCAATGCCTCCGATGATGGCCATTTAGATCATGAGGCTGGCAGCTCGAAGGTCTCCAGGTCTCCGCAAACACGGCTGAGATGCTGGCCGGCACATGGCGAAAAAAGTCCTCCTCCTCTTAACAAGACATGCTTCACAAGGTCTCGGGATGGGTGCTCGCATGCGCCGGGTCAAGCATCGATGCCGGCCAACTAATGCTGCAGCGGACGTGTTTGGTGGACTAGGACGGCTAGGACGGCTAGGATGGATGTCTTGCACGGGCGATGCCGTTGGCCCTTCACATGTTTGCACGGCAGGTGGCGTGTTTGCATATACCTGCCTGTATGTGTGTCTGGATAAATACACGCATGTAGGCATGTACGTAGGTATGTATGTGTTTATGTATGCCTGTCTCATGTAATCATGTGGGCGACTCTGTGTCTGTGTCTGTGTGTGTGTGTGTGTGTGAATGTATGCATGCACACATAGATGTATGCAGAAAAATTTGTGTGTGTACATATTGAAAATACGACTATAACACGTATCGATGTATCTATACCATTTTTATGCTCAGATCGGTTGTCTCGTATCTAGTTTCCCCTACTTACCAGTGGGTCCTCCTCTTCCCTGAAAGCGAAATCGAGACAGGAGCCGACCTCGCCGGCAGCTTTGTGCAAACTCATGCATCACTGATGCAGCTGGGAGGCGGACGAATACGAAACACATAGGACCAATTCGGAAAAAGCAAAGGAAAACACCTCCGCTAAACACCAAGAATCATTCTGAACTCGCAAAACATCAGGCGCGTTTCAGGAAAACCAGCAACAGCACAGACGACAGCCAACCCGTGTCTTCAGCAGCACAACAGTAGAAACAGAACTGATCACTATGAGAGGATCTTGTCCATGCCTTAATTTTCGCCTGGTTTCCTTCCACTGTCTGACTCTTTTGAACCCTCACTTTCTGACCCCTCCCAGCGAAAAACACAAAAATAACGAATTTCCCATGCCAGACATGTATTGTGCTCTGCGTATACTACTACTTGTGTGGGGTGTCACCCCTGTTTGTTGCGGGGCAAAACTTCAACCCCAAACCGACATGTTGGCCCGTAAACCCGAAACGGAGTCGTTGGTTGGCAAACCGCAAACCCCAAAGAAGACATTGGTCGCTAAGGGCCCAACCCTCGAAGCCAAACACTAAAACTAGATGCTCATTGGCAAACCCCGAGCCCTAAAAGAACATCCTTATTAGCAAACTCCTAAACGTTTGCAGGCCCTAAACCCTGGGATGAAATGTTGGCCACTTGGTTGGAAAACCCCAAAAACCCTGAAAGGAGATGTTGGTTGGTGAACTTCAACCGCTGGAAGATCGTGGGTGGTAAGCCCCAGACCCGAAAAGAATAAGATATTGAGTGGCAAACCGAGAACACACTAACCCTTTAGTAGATGTTGGCACTTGCCAAACCCCAAACCCTAAAGGAGATGCTGGTTGGAAGACCGGTAAAACCACAAAATGGCAAACCCCAGACCCGAAAACAAATGTGTATTAGCTTATACTAGCTGTCAATCCATCCCTGAAACTCAAAAAGAGATGTTGGTTTAGCAAACCCGAAGTGCCACTGCGGCTCTGCAGGGCTCTGCAAGCCGCGCCAGCGAAAGAAGCAGCAGCAGCAGCAGCAGCAGCACCAGCATCAGTAGTAGCAGCAGCATCAACGAAGGAGCAGCAGGAGCGCGGTACATCATTGTTTTCTGAATCGGTCCCTGGTTGCTTTCCGAATCTGTCTCCGGCACGTCTGCCTGGTTTTCCGAAATTGCGTCCTGAATCGGGGAGTCATTTTTACAAACCTTCTACTCTCGATAAAGCCTTCCATGACGCATTTCCAGTAAAAGAGAGCGGGCCACTGCCTGGCAACATCATGCAACATCCAAATGCACAACCTCCGCCTGAGGCCCGAGAACCGGGCCACATCTGTTGTTGGTATCCCGGCCATGGACAGAACCGGCAGGAAGGTGTCGTCGATGTGCTGCATGGTCACTTGCCGCAGACGTTGTCGCACCGTGTAAACATGTTGGGGCTGGCTTAGGGCCTGGTGCAAAGGCACTTGACGCCCAGCCTCCAGCAAGGATTCCAGGAGCGCCAGGCGAACAGCAGCAGAGCAGTCTGCACAGAGAATATCGACCCACTCCAGCCGGGCTACTCTACTGCTACGAGCCTGTCGTTATCTTCCTGTTTGGGCCGAGGCAAGGCTACTGAGCCACTTATGCCCCATGGACAATTTCGAAAACGTCGGGACTACGATCGCGGAACGCTAGAGCTGCTGCAAAAGCTGCGAGCACAAACCTGGGAAACAAATTATCTTACCGATATCTTACCGGCTCCCGTCTGGCATCAAGACACCGCCCATGACCTGACATGGTGTGGTGATTTTCTGAAGCCCGGCCCCGGGCGTTCTCTGACTGTTGGCCACAAAGCAGCGGAAGCCACTGCTTCAGCGTCCAGGGGCCGGAAAAGATCTGGTAAGGCCTGGTTCGTTGCAGGTGATCTTATGCGAACAAGCCTTCAAGCTACTTCAGGAAAGGTGTTGCAACTTGTTGTGCTATGCCAGTTAGGCAATTATACATACTACAAGACTACAATGTACCATGCTACTCAGTGCTGTGCGTCACAGTCTTGTCTAATGCCGCACCATGCTTTAAGGAGTCATGCTGTTTGTCATTTGCTGGAACCTTCAGCCTTCGGCTGCCTTTGAAACATGGCACGCTACATTCTGCAGCACTGTGGAATGGTACTTTACTCCAGCTTGGCGCATGGTGCTGCACTACGTGACGCATTAGGGTGCGAAGACTCTAACGACAGCTTATACGTGGATGTTGGAAAGAAACAGCAGCAACAACAACAACAAGATAAAGACTCGACAACCTGATGAAAGGAACCCGCAGTGCCAGCAAGCAGTGCAGCTCCGTAGTACAGTCCCCTCAAGCAGCCCACCGGTGACCTCACGGCGGTCCTCCAGAAGCTGCGCATGCAGCTGCGCTATGGCTCCAATCGCCTGGCTCCAGCTGCCAGAAAGAGTATTGAAATCGGCGGAAAGCACGGAACACTGCCCTCATACGGCCTTTTGAAGCGGTTTCAATATGAACACCTTGCCACAAGCTATAACAAATACTCGAAATCTGCCCAACAATTTTCGAACATCTTGGTTATCCCCTAGTTAAGCTCGAACGTGCCACAAGATTCATGCACGGCATCGTAAAGCGTTTTCAGTTGTAACTGTGCCCTGCCACGGCCATTCCATGAGCCTGTACCATCCGACATCCTCACCGTCAGAAAAGCAAAGAAATTCCGAACCTGAAGTCCCAGCATCGTAAACCTTCGGGGCTTTCTCTCCAAGAAAACCGGAGCAGCCTTCTCAAGAAATTGCAAAGTAACCTTCCGTCAGGACAAACTCCGCCGCACCCGACCCCACACCACCGCCTCGGCCACCTGGACCGGAGCTGGGCTCCCAAGACGCTTGCGCTGCGCTTTGCCTTAGCCCGCCACTGGTCCAAAACGTCTACAATCTACAGGTCACAAGAGAGAGAGAGAGAGAGAGAGTCCTTCTTTTCGCGGACCTGGGAGTCGACATGAAGTCGCTGGTCGCAGAAAGCTGAAGAAGCCAGAAGTCGGTACATGCATACCGCGGCACTTGCCAATGTCCGCAAGTTTTCATTGGATTCAGACGAGCGGCAGCATCTTATGGCCACACCCTGGCCAACTTCTTAGACTTGAAATCAGACTTACCTGGCAGCTGAAAGACCTAGACAAGGAGCGCCGCAAGGTGAAGGCCTAGTTGACACGGCAAGCAAGCCAGCAAGCACGCACCAAGGTTCTTCTTGTGCCAATTCTTGGATTCTTGGGAGAACACACTTCAATTTCTTGAGCCCCCCTCCGACATCACAAGCAGCAAGCACGATAAAGCTGCATGGGGCTGCTGCGAAATTACCGGACGGCTTGGTGCTCAGCCACAAAAGTACAGTTGAAACGGAAAAGCCTCCGACATCAGCGCCAGAGACCCCAGGACCGTAGGCTCAGGACAATGCTCCACAAATTGGTGAAGCCATCATTCCTACCTATTCAACCGGGACCAACCCACCTAAAACATGAAAGCAAGGAATACTTTTTCAAACCTAAATCGTCTACACAGTGACAGGACAAAGGAACAGAGGCAGAGAGACAGGGAGATGCATATACAAACTCGTGCATGGGCTCATGCAAGCATAGAGGTAGGCAACCATTCATGCACGCGCGCATACATGCATACGCACAGGTGAACATTGTGCATGATCTGATGTCTCGGGCAATGCTATATTGCTATCTTTCATTGTTTCTGTGCAGATGCTGTCTGGCAATAAGGGACGCATACAGTTCGCAGGAAGCTTAGGAGCAGACTTGCCGTGGTAGATAAGGCGCGCAGGAGTAGCCTGTTCCCATCACCGGCTTACCGGCCAGTCAGGATCAGGGGCCCTCAATGACTCAAGGCAGGGCACTCTACAGGACTTCAGTCTGTGTGCGGTGGAGGCGAGGCGAAGATCCTTGTGGCAGAGGGTTCGGACGATTACGATCACCCGCCTAGTCGATTTAGTTTCTGCTGCCCTACAGTTCCTCGAAACCTCTTCGCGTCGTAATGGAGTGCAGTGGGACAGGTGGGAAATCCGCAACCCACAGGGAACCGGCACAGCGACGGGGTCTTGCACCTTGAATGTGCAATGACATCGTGCTTCGGACGAGCTCGCTAAGAAAATCCGTGAGCAACCTCACCTCGGACGAGAAATCCTGGGTGCCCTCTACGTCGAGAAGTTAATTACAGACCTCATGTACCATCACAGCCCCAGACACACGAGCCTCAATACCTTGGTCGCCGAGATCCGTGTCTCCTGGCAAGGGGAACAACACCGGCACCACCGCTCCGCCTGTCGCACCTATTGCTTTGTTGGTTTCATGAAAGCTATGTCTACCGTACAGAGTCTGAGCGAACAGGTAGTTTTGGCCGGGCAGGCTTGTTGAGGTTTCCGCCTGTTCTAATTCTTTCGGAGCCAGGGACTCCTCTTCGCTGCGGCCTTCGGATTGCAGGAGCTTCGTCGTCAACTCCTGGCACAACTCGGCCGCGGTTTGTGTGCTCGCCCATGTGTGACACAAAGCAACTAAACTAAGCACCCAAAAGCCGAAAACCCACGTGGCTTTCCACCTAATATTGCTTGAATGACATCCAAAATCACCCAGCGTCCTATGGCTGCAACTTCCACAATCATATCCTCCTCTCATTGCGGTTCGCTTTGCTAAGTGCATGTGGTGAAGCCAGAGAATCGACCGGAAGCACGAGTAATCTAAGAAGGCTCACCACCAAGACAAAAGCAACTGAACTTGACGCATCAATCGCTTAATTAGATTTGCTGGCGCTGTGTGCAAGTGCCTACTGTCAATAAGACAAAAGCATCCTCATGTCATCCAGTATCTATTCCAACTTGAAGTTAGGCTTGTGTTGTACCTACATCAAAGATTACCAACAAAACCAAAACCAAAGCTGAAAAGAACCCTATTTGAACAACATAAACGACATTACGTGAAAGACATGCACGCTGATTACACACGCATGATTCAAAACTGGCTCTGTTCACTGGTCTTTTGGCGGCTTCTCAAAACCATCTGGGGAATTAATGAGGAAAACCCATGCTTATCATCAAATAAAATGTGCACAAGCTTACGTTTACTCCTAAGCCCTTTAAGCCAATGAAACCCACTTTGCGGGTGTTGAATTTCATTGAATATCTCGTGTGCTCTGTTAAAGGTAATAGAAAGGGCATAAACCTAAGGGGCAAGTTTACGCTTGCCGGGCTTCTTTGAATTTGGATTCTTATAATGAATGGAAGAATGACGAAAGGAACGAATGAAATGCAACACACACTACAAGAGACAAGTAAGCCCGATGCATGCTTTTGTTGTCTAGAATCTGGTTTCGCTTATGCCCCTATTGCGTTCCCTTTATGTTCCGTTTAGATTCATTGTCACCGCCGTGCATCACGACAGAAAGACTCACCTTCATCTATCATATTGTGCTGTGTTCCTTCGCGATCTCAATTCCAAACAGCTACAAGAGGTAGAGGGAGCATAAGATTATGAACTTGATGATATTCAACTAGCTCTACTGCCCCTGTAGCAATTTGCCCTTTTATGAACGATCTGCGCTTCACAGCCTACCTAAAGGAAGAGAAGACGCATGAAACAAACCACAGGAAGAGGCCCATTCTGCCTGTCGGTTCCTTTCGTTGTTATCGCTAAAAAAAGTGAATGAGCTGGCCGCGCATTCCTTACGCGTACTTACCATTACGAAAACAACACAACAAACCACTGTAATCATACTGTTGCGCCGCGGGGGGTTGTTCTATTGAACTGTCCGTTTATTGCTAACTTCCAGGCTGGCTTGTTACATCATCATGTAGCCCATCGTCGCAGAAGGCCCCACATCAATGGACCCTCTCACAGAACCTGAACTGCACTCAGGACGATAAAACTATAAATCATGCCTCAATGCCGACCCCACACCGTGGCGTTGATGCCGCTTATCTGATAGGCTCAGCTTCTGCGCTTCTGCCTTCCTAGTACCTGCAGCCCTCTGCTTCCAGATCCCTTGTCGGCCGTTAACTTCTGCCAGAAACTTTCCAACGGGATGGCTGCAAAACTCGGACTGTTTGATAGAAGGTGCGACAAAGGCACGGCCTTTTGAATCTAAAGCTGTCCCAAGCTCAGACCTAAACCACAACACCGGATGATCAAAACGTGCACCCTTCATTTCAAGTTACATCGAAGCACCTGCAGACTGGGTATTCGCCGTGCAGGCTTGGAGCCTCGAGTGCACTCGACGCCCAATACGAAAGCTTGCGAGCGGATTTGCACGCCATGAGCACGACGATCTGCTCAAAACATCTTTACATTTGAGGGTAATTGGAGTATCTGCCAGCCGCCTCTTAGAGTTCGCAGACCTCTTCCCAGATCAGCTGTCCCGTGGACATACCGCACCCGATCACACACTATCGACCTTTCGATTCACCTCTGTGGTCCGTGGCAGAGCGCAGCTCCAAGTCGATTTGGGGCCGCAGCTCGCTGACGGTGAGGATCCGGAGAGGCGCAAGTGATCCTCCGGAAAAACCCCGTAAAACCACTCGACATGCCCGTACGCAGGTAGACAGTCATATATTCTCTGTCATCTCACGCCACGCGATATCACTCCATATCATTTTGCATTACTTCTATATTCTACCACATATCACGCCAAGCCATGCCACATGATACCATGCCATACCCTTTCACATCACATCATATCATATCAAGTCATCTCGTGGTCAGATCAGATTACATCACGCCATTTCGAATGATACATATACCCGCGTATACATGTATATAATTGTACATACGATATATAAATCCATCTCGTGCGAGCGTGGCGGGCCAAGGGAGAGTCGGATGCATAATTACCAAATTGCTGAGTGCAACATGCGTGCTCTAGCTTTTCGGCCGGAGTGCCTCGTTACTTAACAGGACGAGGACACCATGATCGATCTTTCGCCCGCGCGCACACACACACACACACACCAACGCATGCACACGCGCGCGTATCTCTGTTTGTACATGTACATACAAAAACGGATTTACAATATCCATACATGCATAGTTACACAAGTATATGTTTATTTATGCTTTGTGCACGTCCGTCTGCCTGCCTGCCTGGGGTCCCGAACCCCTACACCCCCCCCACCGCTACCCACCCCGCCCCATTTTTGCCCTGCCTGATGGTGCACGGACTGGCACTTTGCCCTGTAGCACCCCACCCCTGCCCTGTGCGGAAAGCGGCAACCTGCGGAGTAGTACAATGTATAATTATGAGGGTTGTATGGCGATGGTGATGGTGGCAGCTATTCTTTCGATGGTACTGATAATGAAGATGGCGACGACAGTGATGATGCTGAGCATGATGTCAATGATTGTCAAAGATGATGCGATCGTCGACTCACGTCGCCGCCTAGAGCAGCAAGAAGGAAGATAAAGAGTAACAAATAAGAACCTCAAGCACGGTGGATGCAGGCCGCACGACCATAGCACATGCAATTGTGGACATGAGTGGTGGTGGAGAAGATCAGAACAAGTGCTCTTAAAGTTCCGTGTAACAGTAGTTGAGGCACTAATCGTGACAAGAGGTCCTTGTCTTACGCGTGTTGCGTACTCCAATTCAAGCCAACCATAGCCTCAGCTAAGGGGG